ATTCTAGCGTATTCTGGAATGTTCTCGTGACTGGAGCATTCTAGAGTATGCTAGAATCGGACCATCTAGAAGAATCTAGAAACGACGCTTGCGAAGAGTATATAAGCGCACGTCGCAAGAAGATTAGCGATTAGTGAAATTCGTGATTTTGTAAACTCATGACTGTGATTTCGTGAATAGCGATTCGGTGAATTATTTAAAGCGATATTTGATTTGTTTGTTGACGTTGTCTTAGCGATAGATTTTGAACAATTTAAAAGTTAATTGTTGCGTTAATTTGAATATGCTAGAAATAAACGATTAGTTGATTTCTTCTGTAAATAAAGTTTAATAACTAATAACTGTTTGGAGTATTTTATTCAATCGAAGATTTGAACCCGTCGCATCGTAAGTCGGTTACGACAGCGAGTATTATAACAATATATATCCATTGTTATAACGCATTTTGTATGCAACGTTGCACTGATACGATTGTATGATCTATTTCAAAAATCTATCGAAGTATTTATTTATTTTAGTTGATGTGCGTTTTATTATTCAATTCGATTCTTTATTTTTATTTTTACAGGTTCATGAGTTGTATCATGCATTTAAAAACAACTTGCAAGATTTTCTGTCGTCCTAATAAAATTATTTTGTTCCATGACATTTTTATTTAATTCATGATTTTATTCACTAAACGAAATTCGGTTTGAATTTGTATTCTTATTTGGAGTCACACATGTTTGAATTTTTTAATATAAAACTTAGTTTGTCAGTTTTTGGCTGTGGGTGTTAAATTTCGCGTATAAATAAATTGATTCGAACTCTCGAATAGTACATTTCTAGGCCATTTTGTTCCAAATGTTGGCGGTTTCTTAACGTTTGTCGGGATCTCGATATTTTCGTCTTGATTGTTTTGATAAAAACTATGGCAGTTTATATAAATTAAACTGAAGGTGCATTCAGTAGTGAATTAATCCACTATTTAAAAAAATTTTTAATTGAAAAAATAATATGGAATTCGTGTTTATCTAGCGATTCTCTATTGAAATTATACTCTTGTTCAAATTGAGATGTTAGCAATAATAAAACCTATATTTCAAATCCAAAGAAAAGCAAAGTATGAGATTTTAATGTGGGAATTAAACTTGACTTTGACCTGGGAATGTTTGCTCCATTATGTCCGACATCCAACCAAAATGTAGTGTGTTATGTAATCACGTAATTGCTTCCAATCACGTCCAATATTAATTATATTGGATGCGTCATTGATTCTCTTGCTCTTAGTAATGGCAGCGGAATACAAGGCACGTCCAGATTAAAATTTCGTGCGACATCGTTTATTATTTACAAAGTAGTTGGAAACTAAAAATATAAGATAAAATTAATTTTTAAAAGTTTATAGAAAACTGGAATACAAAGAAAAATTTTTGTTTTAGCATGTAGTTGTACTCATTTATAAATTTTTTTTGATAAATTTCTTCCCATGTAAGTTATCAAGAAGACTTCACTGAATTTCAAAGTTGGTTTGTTGATTAACGATGAAAAATTACCTTGCAAAGAGCTTGTTTCGCTTTTGCCAGCAGTATTGTTAGTGGGTAGACCAGATTTCATGTCTTTGTAATCCCTCAAAGCGGTTTTGTAAAATGCTAATATTTTGAGCATTCCAAGTTCTAATGATGCGTAAAAAAATTTTAAACGCGAGCCTTATAAGTGCAATTGGTAATTGCTGTATAGGTGTTGATTAAATAAATTGATTCAATCTTTCAAAATATCCAACGTTTTGTCGGAAACTTAATATTTTTGGTTTAGATTGTTTGATTAAAAACGTCCCCCCACAACATTTTTAGGTTAGGAAACAATATCGGCAGCAAATGGTTTTCTAAATAACGAACTGCAATTGCTTGAAGGAGCATAACAGTGGCTGACCTGACTATCTGGAATTCGTTACCAGTGATTCTGCTTAAAGTTACTTAGATGGATGTGTTTAGTAAGGAAGTTGAAAACATACCTTTTCAAGAAAGCCTATTCAAGTTTTTCGAGGATTTCTGTGTTCTCGCAAGTTCGTTTCTGCTTACTTAGAAGAAAAGTTTAAGAACTGAGATACAAAACTTAAATAATCCTTTGAACATTTTAAAAATGCGTTATTTTATTTTCTAAAAACAAATATAAATTAAAACATCAACTAACATCAATAAAACACTTAAAATTAAGCTTTTACCGAGGTCAACAATTATAAAATTTGAAATTGAGCAAATTTGGAGCTGAAAATTCGTATTCAAACGTGTATACTATACGTTTGGTTACTTTTTAAAGTAAATTTAAATAGCATCTTTTTCAAAAATAAATAAAATTATTCAAGGAAAAACTTTTATTTCAAAATCGTTATTGTATGTGAATAACAGATTAAAAATAAAAATAGGACTTCTCCCAAATAATTATAAAAGTTTACATCATAACATCAACAGTTCATACCCAGTTCAAAATTGTTTACTACTGGATTTACCCAAAACATTTTTGGTTTCATAGAGTTTTCTCGTGGAATGATTCTGCAAAATTATAATAAGATTCAATTTACACATGAATACTCGTATTTTTCAATCTACAATTTTTCATAAGTAAATTAACTTGCAAACTTGATTGTTTTTTTTATTAAAAATTTAACTTATTTCAAAAAAACTACTTTAGAAAGCTGTCAAAATAGTTTCCATTTACTGTTTAATAAATTACACGTTTAACATAATTTTGCTTGCACTAATTAATTAGAAAATTAAATGAATTAAATCATTTCAAAGACGTTGATAAAAAGTAAGAGTTTGCTGAGTGAGCATTCTTAAATTAAAATAGCGTTCTTGGAGCAAAAAAATTGTTTAAAACTGCTCCTGACGCTATGCATTGGCTGCTGTATAGATTACATGTTATTATTATTAAGAAAAACATAGGTCTTTAAAGTACAAAACCTTATACAATTATGTCAACAGAGGCGGATTTGAAAATCTACCGCTTTTGGGCATCGTTGTTGGCCTCATGCCTCGTGCCCCTTTCACACAAACAATCATGCCTCAAAAAATACTTAAAGCAGAAAAATTTTGTTGTTCTATTTTTCGTCTTTTAACACGAGTCTGATGATAGACAAACAGTTCCGGTATAATGTAAGTAATAATATTGTCATATCTGCTAGAATTGCGCTATATAATTAATTTCAATTTATCTTGGTTCTATAATCCTATGCTTTAATCAGATTGTAACGCGCGATTGATTGTAAAATTGTAAAAGTAGAGAGGTTGGAGTTGCGCTGTGAATTATTAGCGATCGTGCGACATCGAACATAATTATTGGATTAGTAAATGATTCTTTGGTTCTTTTACTGTTACCATTAAAACGAAAGTGAATAACAAGGTTAAAAATAAAGCAAGTCTGTGTTTGAAGCAGCTGTGTATCTATCAGAAATTAGTGGATAAGTGAAATTAGATAGCGCAATTTGCAAAATAGCATTTTGACCCTCCCAAAAAATTAAAGAAAAGTAAATAAAAATTATGTCTTCAAATTATTATAACTTATCCAGTAAAATCTAATGAAATATAGGGTACAATAAAATTCAATGAAAATTAAATATCAATTTAAAAGACACAGTTCAATATTTTGTCTGCTACAGCCTTAAAACGGAGATAAAGCGTTATGACGAATCTAAAAATCTGCTGCTCCTCGGGCATCAATATAAAGCCACCGCATTTTTTGTGGGCATCGCTGTAGGCCCCAGACTTCTTGCCACTTTCACACAACCAATCAAGCTTTAAAGCTGTAAAACTTTGTTGTCCTAAGTCTCGCCTTTTAACTTGGGTCTAATGATAGACAAACAGTTCCAGTAATGTAAGTAATATTAGCATCACTAAATTTGCTTATATGGTAGCTTGCACTTGTCACAAGTCAAATTAGTCAACTTTAAAAATGTTCTTGGGGCATCACAGAAAGAGTTAATCGAATTTGTTAATAGCCATGTTTCAAAAATAATTACTTTTCAACGTCAGTTATAAAAGTTTGGATCAACTGTTTGCCACCACATCCTACATACATGCTATGCGATCGGTCTTAGATTGTGTTGTGCTATTCTTTTCTAATTCTACAAAACAGGATTTTCTAGTTTGTACGTTTCCAAGTTTAAATAAAAAATATTTGATACTGAAAATAAGTTTTGTTGAGCTCTTTCAAATTCTGCTTTAAGAAGTTTTGATATGATGCAACAAAAATAAGTTCAATCTGATGATTGACAAGCTTTTTGTGTGTACCTACATTTTCAACAACTTTGAGATAACTCACTCGGTCAAAGTGCAAAGTGTGATGGTACGGCTCAAATATTATCTGTCGGAAACTCAAAGACTATCACACCCGTATGATGCAGGGCTTGCGCGTGCATACATAATGTGTATGTGCATCGTGTGCTGTTGATAGGCGCTAACGTTTAGTTATAAGCATACAGTGAAAGATCTAGACAATTTTGACAGAGGAACCAAAAATTTAAAAATGTTTAAATTTTCAAGGGGGGGCCAAAGTTTTCACGAGAGAGGAGGATATATATATATATATATATATATATATATATATATATATATATATATATATATGCGGGAGAGGGTAACATGACTTTAAGTTGAATGTACCCCCATTGTTAGTTATGCTAAAAATCATGAAAAATATAGGCCAAATATATATATATATATATATATATATGTATATATATATATATAGTACATTATTTACGGGAGAAAGGGTAACATGACTTCAAGTTGAATGTACCCCCATTGTTAGTTAGTTATACAATAAATCGTAAAAAATTCATAAACCAGCATTTGTCAAGCTTGAAGTGCATCTCTTTAATCAAATTCTGCAGTTTCACCTAATATCGTATGTTGTAAAATTAGACCACAATTGACGCGCATAAACTTGTAAACTTGTTTTTATGTTTTTCAGATATTGCAATAAATTAAAGAACTACTATAATTGCTATTTTGATTCTGATTATGGCAGCATCAATAAGAACCAGAGGAAAGACCTCCACTCATCTTAGTCATTATGTGGGGTCAGACAGGAAGATCCTTACCTCAGAGTTACCAACTGTGAGTGATTTATTAAGATACGGTATTCTGCTAAAGCAGTTGAGCAAGAAAGACAAAATTTATATAAAAAAAGAACTAGCCAAAGATATTATGACTGCCCTCTTTGATCAGTGGACCAAAGCAAATTCTAAGTTTATATATTCTGTTGTCATTCATGAAGTAACAATCCAGGAAAGAATCGTTAATTTGTGAAATAAAGAAACTGATGTATCACTTGGTAGATGAACGCTTGACAAAAAAAAAAGTTTACCGATGGTCTTGACAAACTCTTCAACATTCTTCATTGTAAGTGTCCAATTCTTCTGTGTTCTGAATATAGATGTAATAATCTTGAATGTTTTCAAAAAGTACACATAAATTGTAATTGCGCAAGAAGATCAGAAGATTCCAGTGATCGAACTGATGTTTATTAGTGCAGAGAGCTAAGCAAGGAAGCATCAGCACTCACATGATTGCAAACAAAGATGTGCCAGAGACAAGAAGGCAAGAAGCAGAACTTTAGAGACAAGAAAGCAGATGCTTTTCTGAGCAGAAAAGAGCTGAGAAACTAGAAGAAAATGCCAGGAAAGAGAAGGAAGAGAACTTAGTAGCTGCACAGTTTATTTCTGGCGAAGACAGTGATGACTCTGAGAAATCTGAATCGAATGTAGAGAACAAAGTTCAAAAGGAGAACAGTGAAATGACTGAAGTGTACAATACTCAGGATATAAGAAGCAGTGCACTAGCCAGTATGAGAAATCACACTGGATTAAGGGAGACAGCTGAAATAGCAACTGCTGCTTGGATTATTGCTGGCTTCATCACTGATATAGACAAACATCTTATAATTGATCATAATAAAGTTAAAAGAGCTCAGCAAAAGTTGATCAAAGAATTTAAAAATAAGTTTAAAAGTGAAATAAAAGAGCATGCCATCAGCTGTTTACTCTTTGATGGAAGAAAAGATGACACCAAGGTGATGCTTGACATTGTTGGTTCTTCCAAAAAATTTTCAGGTATAGTAAAGGAGAAGCACTATTTGATATGCAGTGAACTAGGAGGAAAATATTTGAGGCATTTCGTTCCTGGGAAAGCTACTGAGTCCAAGAAACCAGCGGAGATAATTGCAGATAACATTGTTGAGTGGCTGAAAGAGAAAAATATTGATGATAAGCTTCTGACAGTACCAATACAAACACTGGCAGACATGGTGGTGTGATGCAGTGTATTGAAAGAAAGCTTGGCAGAAATCTTGTTTGGTTAGTATGTGATCTTCACACAAATGAATTACCACTGAGACATCTTATTCAAGAATTGGATGGTCAAACACTGAGCAATAATCGATGGTCAGGACCAATTGGTAAGATGCTTGATAATGCAATAGACCTGGAAATAAATCCAAATTTTATCAGGATAAGTGTTGATTTTCTACTGATTGAGTTAAAACAGAATGTGATTGATGATCTCAGCAAAAACCAGTATTATGGATACATGATTGTTACTGGTTTCAGATCTGGTTCTGTGCCTGACAGGCTTGCGAACTTACAGATTGGACCTGTCTGTCACTCAAGATGGTTGACTACAGCTCTAAGATGTTGCAGATTATGAGTTTTCAATCATGGTCTGAAAAATATGCCACTTAAAAATTTGAAAATGATTATTGAATTTATAGTCGGAGTTTACATGCCTAATTGGTTTAAAATCAAAGTGAAGCATAATTGGATTGATGGTCCGAGACATGTTCTTTTTCAGTTTGAACTTTTGAAAAGTCAAGACAAAGAGGTGATTCAGATAGTGATGCCTATAGTAAGATGATCACCCTGGTATGCACATTCTGAAACTGTCATACAGACACAGATTTGTAGTGACCAGGAGGAAGAAAGAAAAGTTGGAATTGAAAAGATTCTTGAGATCAGAGGAAATGCAGAGAAGAATGTTCAGATATGAGTTTAAGGCAAAGGGTAACACCAGAGATCAATCCTGATACCAGCAGCCTACTTGAACTCATTCATTGGGATTCTGAAATGCATGAATCTCTTCTAAATTGTAGCTTAACAACAGCTCAAGTCAAACAATTTTTGCACAATCCAATGATAGTTCCAGACTGGCCCTCACACATTTAAAGTATTGAGAGATGTGTCAAGATGGTTACAGAGGCAAGTGAGCATGTCTAGTCAGGAAAGAAAGGATGGATATATTAAATCACTGATCGTCAGCAGACAACTAATGAGTAGAAATGCGACCAAGAAGGACATGTACAATTTCGTAAAGTTTGGAAATAATTGAAACTTGCTGTAAGTTTACTTTGTAATTGACATAACATTGATTAGACATTGTATATAATGCAAATACTATTTCAGTATTTAATAGAAATATAAAATTTTTCTTTGCTTAAAATTAGTTTTCTTTTTTCAATGATTTTTATAATTAATTCCTAAATTCTGAAAATAAACATTTTAGCTAAAATTTCAACGTAAAATTTACCAAGCTTAAAATTTTCAAATCTAGAATCTGAAAGTTCAGCTGGATTCAGCATACAAAAATGTATCTTTTTGTAACCCCTGGTTTTTAAATTTTCGGTATACAATTGGCACGCCCTACGCGGTACCTTATTTATGTTATTTATCAAATTTATCAAAGTAAGGATCATGAATTGAGTTATAACGTTGTTGTAGTTAACTGAATTTTCTTATATATATATATATAAGAAACACGCAGTTTGTGACCCAGCGTCATCCGACAACCGTCATTGCGTCGGTGGATGTATTATGTGATACTTAATATTTGATCTATACATCGATATGTATCTTGCATGTACATATATGTATTTATATTTAACTATGTATCCGTAGGTCTGATGTGGAAACTCGTATCACACATATTCAACCGCAATAGTTGCATTCACAACGCATACACAGCAATATTATATATCTGGCGCACATGTCATTCGTAATTAGTTTTCACTAACGTTTTTCAACCATGTTAAAACTTTTATAAAATTTCTATATTTTAATTATTTTACTAAACATTTTATTTAAATTACATTATTTTATTTATATAATCTACATAAACTTTAGTTATTATGATATTTACAACAAGGTTAATTTATTTCACAATTTAATACATATTTTATTTTCTATATTTACATATTTTATTTTCTATATTTTCACATTTTACATTAGACATTTATTTTAATTAAATTATATGTTTAAACAATATTTAGGCTCTGAAGATGGCATTACGCCGAAACAGCGCTGTTAGCTTTATTCCAGTTTTAGATAAATATGAACTCAAACAATACCGCCTCGTTGAATGTCTTATAAAGAAGTTAATTAATGCAAAATGGGCAAACAATTTCAATGAAATTTGCATATATATATATATATACATATATATATATATATATATATATATATATATATATATATATATATATATACAATTATTTATAAAGATCACTGCGTTTTCGGCATTATTCAAATTGTTGCTGAGTTTCTGATTTGTAGTGAATTCTGATTACTGATTACAAGTTGAATAATTCCGAAAACGCAGTGATCTTTATAAAAAAATATTATAAATAAAATATTTATGATAGTGTAAATCCAATATATATATATATATATATATATATATATATATATATATATATATATATATATCCTAAACAACTGTATATATATATATGTGTGTGTGTGTGTGTGTTGTGTGTGTTTTATAAAAAAAAATAATTCAAAAGCGGTTCCAAAAAATATATTTATATATGTATATATATATATATATATATATATATATATATTATATATATATATATTATATATATATATTTAGGTGCAGACATTTATTAAGTTTTTCAATTTTTAGTAAATTATTTAAATTACTCACACAAAAAAAAACAATGGAGCTTTGTTAAGTTCCTTTGTTAAAATTACTATATATTTATAGATTACATATAACAATATCACAAACTCTACTACACTGATGATAGTAGAGGTACCGAAAAAAGCTTTTATTTAAATGTATATATGAAAAAGGCTGTCTCAAATAATTAGAAATATTTTATTATTAATTTGAATAAATTGAATAATATATAGTTTGGCACGGGGATTTCGTTATAACAAATTTGGTTGAATGTTCTTGCCCATTTTGTATTAATTAATTTCTTTTGGGTTCGTTGAATAAGACGCAATTGTTGTAACTCAATTTTATTAAACTCGTCAAGCATTTCGAACGGCTGACGACGTTGGTTCGTTTATTCTTCTTGATTTTACAATTTTAAATATTCAATTCATATTTAATAATTTAAACGTAGGCTCTGATGATGACATACACTGTCGAAACGACG